AATCCCAGGCATATCTGTATGTGTGATGGGCTGCTTTGTCACAGGACAGAGTCTTTGCAACTGCTGCAGTGTCTCTAAATGAAGTGAGTCAATGTTATTTGGACAACATTCTTTATTCATTGCAGGAATGAAAAGATTATTCAAATATTCAATTAACCAGTGAATAGGGTCTTTCTGAGAACCAGGTGAGTTCATCAAGTAGAACTAGCTATTGTTGAGCCAACTCAGGGTATAGATTTGACATTTATCAATATAACTTCTTTTTTTTTAAATGACACTCACAATAACCTTATGCAGATAAAGAGATTTCATAACAACATGCTCTAATATAACAGAGACAGGCGCGTTAAGAACAAATGTGCCACAGGAGGGGAAAGGGAATTCTGATCTGATAAAGTGTGTGTTATACAGAACCTGAGATACTTTGTGACTATGCCACACAGTACAAAGCAACAGTGAGATGGGAAGGGCCCATTAGATCATCGCCTTGTCCAGCCCTCTGCCAGTTCAGGATTGTTCCCTATGGCATATTCTTGTGGACTTTATTCATCTGACTCGAGCAATGGGGCTTCCGCCACTTCCCTTGTAAGACTGCTCCACAGCTTGATAGGCCTCCATGATAGATATTTACCGAAAAAGGTTGCAACTCTTTTCAATTTAGGCCCCAGTTCAACAAAGCACTTAAACACCTGCTTACCTTGAAGCCTAATGGCACTTAAGCACAGGCTTGGCTGCTTTGATGAACTGGGGCCAAATTTCAGTTACGTGCTGATTCCGATTTCCCTTTCCAGACCATGTAGAGGTATTTACTAAAATTAAAACATTCTGAAGGGGCAGCGGGCCCTGCAGCCATTGCGAGGCAGAGCGGATGGTGTCACTGCTCTTTGTTAGGGCCCTTCAGCCAGTTTTCATTCCATGTAACTGCTCATATCAAAACCAGCTGGAAACATTTGTGCAGTAATAATGTGTGAGACTCTGTATCAAGTGCTTGCTACAGTCTAGCTACATTGTATCTGCTGCATTCCTTTCCATCATGGAGGGGCCAGTCCTGTAACCCTTCACTCAAATAGACATTTACACAAGTAGTACTATTGGTTTGCTAAGCCTGATTCTCCATCACTTCCAGTAATGGTATCCAATGACTGAGTTCATTCTCCAAAAGCCTTGGGGTGCTTATCCTACTGGCCTGCTGATCTGTATATATTTAACTTTTCCAAGTACTCTATGACCTGCCTCTTATCATCCCGTCTCCATTGTCTATTCCAGACTTTGTTTTATTTTGCTTGTTGGAGACAGATTCCAGGAAGAAGTTCAGTAGCTCATCCATCTCAGAACCACATACTTGTTGATTGTGTTTCTCCCCCCACATACCAAGAGACTTCCTTTGCCATCACTGCTTCTCATCTGAATAATATATTTTTAAAAGTCTTTAATCCATTTGGGTAGAACATTAACCCATTCTACGTTTCTGCAGCTCTAAAGCCAAATTCAGTCTTGGTGTAGAACCCTACTGCAGTCAATAGAATTACCCCAGGTGGAATTTGCACCCTAATCTTTTCCCAGTAAGTCACTGTGTATTCTTGCTCAGTCCTTTCCCTGGGCAATTTCCGTTACAGATTCCTTTGTATTACAGACCTTTGGGGCAGTCTCTCGTGAAGGCATTTCCAGGGAACTGCTGAGTCTTTATTAGACTAAGATCTAATAGTGTCTATAACAGGTAGAAGGAAACCTCTGGGCCCAAATAATCCAAACTGCCATGCTCCAAATCTGGACCCAATCCTGACTCTTCACAATATTCAGCTTCGAGACGTTTGAGCTGCCGTCTCTCATCTGAACTTGAACCTAAAGGGGCCCCTCTCTCCACTGGCTACCTGCAGGTAGACGGAACAGATTTGCTATCAGACATCATGGTAATTGTTGCTGCAGCTCCACCAAGTACAGGCAATCCTGTTAACTCCATTGGCCCAAATGTTTTCAGGGAGGATGTTTATAGCAGGCTCTCATGTAAGTGGGTTCTAAGCTATGAACATTGTGTACTTCTGTAGTAGCCTAATAACATGGAGTATGTATAGTGCCATTTTACCAAAGCCTTTGTTAAATCCACACATCACCCAGGTTTCAACATGTTAGATTTAAAAAATGAAAACTCAAGTCTTTTGTATTTTCAAGTGCCAGAATAGCATCCTGCTACCCACTGGGAAGAGTTGTAGTAAAACTCCTTAAAGGGCAGGCCTGGACTGGCCAGAAAGACTAAGGCTATGTCTACGCTACCACTTATGTTGGCAAAACTTCTGTCGCTCAGGGGGTGTGGGGAAAAAAGTGGTGGTGTGCCCAGCGCTGTCAATGAGAGAGCTTCTCCCGCCAGCATAGCTACCGCTGCTTGTGGAGGTGGTTTTATGATGTCGACGGAAGAGCTCTCTCCCATCGGCATAGGGTGGCTACACGAGCAATCTTACAGCGGCGCAGCTGCATCGGTACAGCCGTGCCATTGTAAGCTCGCTAGTGTAGACGTGGCCTTGGTGTAAGAGCGAGCGAACAAGAGAAATGAACTGCAAATCTAGATTAGCTCAATGAAGCCAAACCCTCCCTTGGGCTCTGACTAGAATACAATTAAGTGCTGACATTTGGATAACTCATTCTGATTTTTGTCAAATTGCCACTTCATACTGATTGGTGGCCAGGCTCTGGGTCTATCTCACCTGAAAGGTGGTACCTCCACCAGAACAATCCCACTGGAGCACGGGGCTCAGCATAGTCCTGGAGGGAGAGGTTCCTTCTACCCGTGAGCAGGATCAACCTTGCTTGGCTTATGAGGGGACAGTCCAAGAGAGCAGAGCTGCAGATCATGGAAGTGAGATGGGCCTCGATAGCTGCTGGGAAATACCTGACGGAAGAGTGGCTCGATATGGAAAATAAGATTACCGTCAGGCATGAGCCCCATTAGGGCTTTCTTTGTGGAGGGACAGACTAAAGCCAAGGGGGGGGTGTTTGTGTTTTCTTCGCTCACAAACAGAAGAAAATGCTTTTAAGTGATTTTTTTTATCATGATCTTTTACCAGGGCAGCATCCTGGTCTTATTGATTTAAAACCCACAGCAAGGTTTGTAGATTATAAGGATAATCTGTGGATGTTCACGTGGCTCAATGTGCTAGGAGCTGTGTCTCTCAGTAGCTAGGTGGTGGCTCCGCACCGGAGAGCTTTCTGCCTTGCATTTCAGTAAGGCCAGTTCCAGGCAACAACAGTGTTACCGGAGAATTGTTTAGACACTTGCGAGGCATAAAGGCTCAGGGTTACTATGTTTGCTGAGCTCTGTTGCCACATTGAAAACCCCAGGTTTAGCAGGGAATTAAGCCAGTCTTTTCATAGACATTCAGAAATGGATGAGCTCTAAGGCTAAAGGCCTATAAGATTTTCTTTGACGGTGTGAGATGGAAGTGACCGCAGCAGCCATTAAAAATTCATCAGCTCTAGAATCTGCAAACGTCCTGAACTGGCAGCCGATTAGCTGCCTGGATTCTGGCTGTACCCCGATGGCTCTGCAGTATTCTCCATGGTTCTGCACATACGAATGAGGGATGAAAAGGTCCATAAGGTCCTCTAGTTGGTCTGTCCTCTGCTCCTCTTTTTTATAACAAGGGGCAGGTTTCCTGAGTAGGTTTTCCCCACCCCTTATACAGTATAAGAACAATTCCATTTTCTAGATATGCAACTTCTCTCTCTCCCACCCCCTTCTGTGGATCTCAGAACACCCTCCCCTCCCCCCCCCCCCACACTGACCCTCCTGTTAAGCTGAATGTTTTCACCTCCGGTTGCTCCTCTTCCCAGTGCTTTGTACTCGGCTGGATAGCCCTGCGATGACTTGCCCACTTTCATGGTTTGGTGCCCTCAGCCCCTTGCTGCAGACTCTCGTTTCTCTCGGGGGCTGATTGATTAAGTGAACACCAAAACCCATCCCAAGGCTGGTCCTGTGTGACCTTGCTAGTTCCCTCCAGCCAGCCCAAAGCGCTTCCCTCTCACAAACACCCTCTTTCCTCAAGTTCCAAGCCACTTCCTAATGCACTCATGAGTCAAGCTGGTCAAAGAACAGGTGAAAAAGCATAACAAGTTTTTTTCACACTTTTTCCCAGAGAAAACTCTTTGGTGAACATTTGCTGCCCAGGACCATCCCACAGGACCTAGTAAGGTGGTGAAGCATGTCGGCCCAGCTCTTTTCACGAGTGTGTGGCCGACATGCTTCACCACCTTACTAGGTCCTGTGGGATGGTCCACAAGAAACTCTCCCCACAACTTCTTCCCCCCCCAGTACCTTCAGGATTTGATGGGAACTTGGCAATGGAGCAGGGCTTTATTTCCCACTTGCTGGGAGATCAGTGTTTGGAATTCTCTGTCTCAAAAGTGCTAGTAGATTCAATCAGCTTCAAGGATTGTTTGGACAGCAATGGCCCCTCAGTCGAGCACTCACACACGTAGGAACGGGCTCACATGCTCAGCATTAAATTCATTGCTGAATGGGGCGGGGGTCGTCGGGATTTCCTCCCTCCCTCCCTGTGACATACTGGACGGATTGAATCTTTCTTTAGCGCCCCCAGCAGGGATCAGAGGAGGGCGTGTCTCACAGTCAGTGCCCTACCATTGCAGTGGTGGTGATACAGGTGGAAGCAGAAGGGTGTAAGCGTGGCTGTTCTTTAGTCTTTCCTGTCTCCTCCCAGGATCCTGTTGCCCCTTAATGCTGTGCTTTTCCATACATAAAGAGCAGCCACGTTCTTGAAGACTTAATCACTTTTACTTGAGCGTCAGAAAAACAACAGTAATAGGAAAGAGCACAAGGTGTGGGCATCTCCACTGTAATGCATGCAGCCACCCTGGGAATGGAATGCAGAGTTCTTAGAGACCAATGTCTAGGTGCATTGTGGGTCCATAATGTGTGCTGATGTAAATGTGACATAGGGCTGCGCTTTGTGCCATTTCACGAGACACTGCCTTTTGTTTTCCTGTTGCAGATGTGAAATATTTGGAAAACCACAGCCTGGCGAAGGATGCTCAGGAGAAAGCCAACGCAGCTCTGTTGGAGTACACCATCTGCCACTACCCTCACGCCGCGGACAAGTTCCGTCAGCTCCTGCTGTGGCTGGCTGAGATCCGCTCCCTCAGCATGCAGGCCGAGGAGTACCTCTACCACAAGCACCTGAGCGGGGAGGTGCCTTGCAACAACCTGCTCATTGAAATGCTGCACGCCAAGCGGACTTGAGTGCGGCTCGTCCCGACAAGAGACTCGTAACGGAGCTTCTCAGAGATGTTCCCTGCTGGGAGCATGCAAGAGAGGCAGAAGGAAGCTGGGGGGGCTGGCCTAGCAGCACTGCTGTCCATCGCCGCCTCGCCCGGTGATTATATTTAACCAGTACTATTGGAAAGTTTCAGATGATTTATTTTAATATACAGTAACTATGGTTTAACAGCGCTAAGATGAATATGTTCCATTCTGTGTGGACTGCCCTTCTGGGAGCATTGCCTGTCCTACATTTGGCTTTCCCTTTCTACATAGCATCGATTTGGCTTAACACAAATTCCAGGGTGTGGAGGATTAAACCTTAGAAATGGCTTTTCTCTTATTTATGTTCATTTTGACTCATTTTTCCTCAGCAGCTGTCTGCCCTAACCCTGCCCCCTCACCTTCTGCCCACAAACATCTCAGGACCCCACTTGCAAAGGGGGGAGAGAGAGGTAAAAAGGTACCTTGCTGGTTTTACCCTTCCGACAGGCCAGGGCTTCTCCAGATGATGCTCTGTGGTTGTCGCCACCTCCCTGGAGGTGAAACACTTTGTGGAGCTAGAAATGGGGCTGCAGGGGTTGGCCAGGGAGACTGCCTTGTGGGATAGTTTGCAGAATGGAGATGCTAGAGACCCCTGGAATGGACATAGACTGGGACATGGTACTGGGGAAAATGCAACCATCTACATATTCCTGAATCCAGCCATTAGATCCATACTGCTCCTGCCCTGTGTCCCAGGGGAGCCTGGGGTTTTGTGCCCCCGAGCCCAGGAAAGCTGTTAGAGTCCCATTTTGGGTCAGGAGACAGTGCTTGAGATAGGATCACTGTGTCACCACAGCCAGTGCGTAGTTGCAGCAATAGGCCTGCTTGACCAGCGTTGGGGGCCTTAGCAGAGTGTTGGTTACGTTCTGACTGGGGAATCTCCTTGTCTTCTGAGCTCAATATTACAGCACAGCCCCATAGTATCCAAGTGCTGAGTCATTCAGCTATTCATCCCTGCGTCTCCTAGCCTGTGTCCTGCAGCCCCTCTGGCCTGGAAGCTGCTGACGGACTGGCCAGGCGAGAGTGCCCCTAGGACGGGGTTGTCTGGGCTGATGGACTCCTGCAGTTACATGAATCGGGAGGCTGTTACAAGAACTGGACAGTAGAAAGCCATCCCTTTCCCCACGAGCTGTCCCCATCTGGGGACCCCACGCCCTGTGGAGTAAAGAGCAGGTGCAGACTCTGGCTGAGGGATGCAGGCGCAGTGGAACGTACCATTACAAGCAGGGTGGAGAGCAGGGTTGCTGGGACAAATTCCTCGCTGGTGTAACCGCACTGGGCTGTCACTGAGCTGAACATGGCCGGTCGTGTGTGCAGGGGTGGGTGGCAAAGGCTCCTTTTCTGAATAAGCAGCTTCCTGACTGGCTAAAGTGCTGTTTATTCAAGTTTTGTGGCTGTGTAACAGGGAGGGCCAGCACTCACCCCGTCCCCACCCCCAGTCCAGCACAGCAGCGATTACAAGCTCTGCCTCATCCTGCTAACGAGTGTCTGGGGGCTGCCTGCAGCGGGTGGGGAGCAGGGCACCAGGGAGGGGATTTCATCCTGGAGTTCCAAACTGTGCTTTATGTCTTCAGTGCCCAGCCCTTAGCCTCAGGTAGGCCCCTGCACGCTGCCCTGCTACGCCCAGGCAAGCCAGTGACCATCCAGAGCAGCTCCATTCCAACCGCTTCAGCGACCCCGGGTCACACCACAGAGGGGGGAGCAGAGTCTGGCCCTGACACTGACGTTTCAGCAGGGAAGTTTGTGACTCCATCGAGCTCTGGCCCCATCTCTTGGCTCAGCCTCTGTCTCCAGGACGGTTTTCTCCCGCCTCCAGACCTGTCTCACTCTCTTTGGAAGGTTTCCAGCTCCAGCTTCCCTTGCTTTTCTGCATCACGACATTCCCCGTTCAGCAGTCAGGTGCTTTCTCATCCTGGGGCCAGGCCCTCCTGTTTCTTTAGCCAGCAGGACTGCAGTTAATGACTTGCTGAAAGATTCTGTATCTTACATGAAGGCGGGTGAACCCTTTGCCATTGAAGTTGGACAGGATGGCCCTCATCTCATAGCAGCTTGTTCTGCTAGCCCCCCTAAATGTCCCCTTTCAGCCATTCCTTGCTGGCAGTGCTACAACTGGCCCAGCGGCCGAGTGTTTTTGAAATCTAGGGAACAAAGCAATTGGGGATGCAGTCCCCCATTCGGAGAGTCAATCAAGAAGCACAGTCTCCTGAACCCACGTACTGGATTTCTCCATATAATGCCTGGGATGTGTGGCGATGGCAGAATGAGCAGGAATAAACAGGGCTGAGATGTGCCCCAGGAAATGGAGTAAGGGGCAAGATCTAACCATCAAAGGACTTTTTTTCTCACCATCTCTAACTGCGACATCTCACCAGCTGCTCTGTGTGTGCTCTCGGGAATGCTTCCCCTGGGATGGAGCTGGGGAAACCTTTGGCAGTAGCCTAGCACCAAATACAGCCACTCATCTGAACACTTTCTTAGCGGAATCAGTCCCTTTGGACCATTTTCTCTGTTTATTCTATTCTATTCAGGTTCTTTTACACTGTGCCCATCTGCGCTATATTGTAGCCTTTCCACTGCACCTCTCCTGGCTCACTTATGTTTTTATTTAGTGTCCCCTCCATTTTTGGACACTGAAGTCAAAGCTAAGCACGTGACCCTGATGGATGACTATAGGACTAGGTGGTCCAAAGACCCGGTCCAGGGCGACAGCACTTCTGCACATCATGCTGTTCAAGCCATTGCAGAATGTCTAGCCTCCAGAGAGACTATGAGAAGAAAGGGATTTCCTTCTGCTCTCTGGTTCTTCTGTGTGTGCATCTGAATTAGAGGCCATAGTGCAAATGTTCCACAGGTACCTCGCATGCCAGCCATGGGCATAAAGGCTGCCCTGGGGTTCCTGAGCTGGTGAGTAGGGTTTCTACTCCACTCCCCATTTGCCTGCTTCCTCTGGCTGGGAGTAATTAGACCTGCGCCATAACCTACAGCCCAACGGTGAGACGTCCCAGCTCCACTGCTTGGTGAGATTCACCCTGGCCACCCAGCAGTGTGTTGCTTCAAGCCCCGGTGTTAGCTTCTGTCAGATGGCAGCATGTTCATGTGTCAGTTAATAGAGCTTTCCCACCCAGGGAAGTGAGAACTGCTGACGCTACAAGACAGCGAGTCCCTTTGACCTTGGGTGCATCTCCCTCCCCACTTAGTTAGCAGTGGAAGGTAAAACCAGACGGTGCTTTATTCTTGCTGCCACGTTGGCTTACTTCAGCTCTACTGTCCTTTTCTATTCCCCGAGCACTGGACCTTCCCCAGGCTCCAGTAGAGGCCAGGCTTAAATGACACTGCTATGTGCTCCCTGTTCTGTAGGTCCCTGTCAACACAGGTCATATTATTGGCGAATAACGGCCCTTTGTAACAAGTGGGTTCCGATATATTTTCCATTCCAGGTGCTTGTTTCTTGTTTAGAGTGGACTTTTGTACCCAGAGAAATGTGGCTTCTGAAGTTTGGCGCTTTACAGGCCTTGTGCGCTGCTGCTGCGTACCTTCTTGGCAGACTTTTGTGACTATAAGCAGGTCATTTTCTGGAAGCTTATTAGATGCAGATGAGCATGTTTGTTTCTGCATTTCGACATGTTAATGCGTTTTCCTCTCCATGTCTGTGGTTCAGTTTCACTTTGTATTTTGTGGATTTAAAGAGCTGGGGAATATGGTTTGGGCGTTAAAAGATGTTTTATTTTCAGAAAATGAGAAGTGTCCTTAAGTGTCTCTCTCCCCTGCTTCACCCTCTCCATTCCATCTATGGCAGGAGATTGTTAGCAATGTTCTTGTCAGGATCAAACCACTGTAATAAATTTTGCAATTCACTTAAAAATTCTGGATTCTGCGGGTTTTTTATAATGTATTTCTAACTCTGGGTTGCTGTTGCTGTCACATCTCGTTCCATTACTGCTTTCTGCAGCGGAGCAAAGAACTTTCCTGGGTTTCAACCCCATGCAAACGGAAGGGCGGATGACGACGTTAAACAGTGCTCAGCCCTGATGATACTGGCCTGGGGCTCCTCTGCAGGGTAACTGAGCTGGCATCCTTAGGACGAATAAATTCGAGATGAGGGTTGAATTGGTTCCAAGGAGCCACGCAGGTCCCGGCTCTCAGTTTGCCTGAACCTTGGGGCTATTGTGTGGGAGCTGCACATTAAAGCCAGTTGCTCTGCTGCAGCTCATGCCCGACCGTGGTGGCGATAGGCATTGCAGACTGTAGCCCTCTTCATTAGCAGGCAGGCAGGACTGTGACACTTGTACTCACGTGGGGAATATGGCTCATGTTTTGATTAGACTTTGCTGACTTCATGTCTATTCATAGGTACGTCTGTGGCGCTTCTCCCCAGAGGATCAGAATGGCTTTGCCAAGTCACCCTAACAAGTGAGCTTGAGAGCAGCCAGGTTTAGGGGAGGGTTAACTTAGGTACTAACCACTTGACATGGCTCTTAGTTTATAATGATCAGGCTGTGCTAGGCACAGCAAGCAAGCAAAAATCCCTTCTCATACAACTGTAAGAGCTTTTAATATCACACATCCCTAGGGAGCAAACTCACAGCTAGGAGACAGCAAAGCCCAAATAACTGACTCAGTGTGCGCCTGTATTTGTACACACAAACCCTGCAGCCGTGCCTGTGGGTCAGCACCATGCGAGCACAACCAGCTGGCTGGGCAATTGCTGACCTTGTCCTAGAACGGTAACTATGCCTAACGCATTGCCACAGGGTCTTCAGTCACCTGGTTTGAAAATTTGGGCTCCACGGTCATGCAGTGGAGTGTAATTAACCAGGAGGGTTTCAAGGCCCTGAGCCAAAACCCAACTGAAATCAGTCGCCACACGCCCATTAGCTCCAATGGGAGCTGGATCAGCCTGCAAGAGGGGAGCCATCAGGAACAGAACAGCCTCCCTGCCTCACTAAACTAGGGTGACCAGGTGTCCCGCTTTTATAGGGACAGTCCTGATTTTTGGGACTTTTTCTTATATAGGCTCCTATTACCCCCCACTCCCTGTCCCGATTTTTCACACTTGTTGTCTGGGCACCCTACACTAAACCATCACTCGCCTCAAAGCTGACAGAAGTCGCACATGCAAGGTGCAGTGTTGCTGAGCTCTTACAAGCAGCTGCCAAGTTCTAGCCCCAGAAGACTAGCAGACGACGTGATGCCTGATGCGATTTGTAAAGTGCTGTGGGACGAACGCTGCGGCAGGAGTATACTCAGCTCCTGACGGGCCAGCCGCCAGCAGAACCAGGTAGATGCTTTAGCGCTACCCTGGGGACTACAGTGGCACTGGGATTATCCGGGTACCAGCTGAATGAATTAGGTAATAATGCCTCTATGGGCCTGATTCCGAAAACGCAACTAAGCATATGCTTAAAGCCCTGCTTTGCTGAGTGGGGGTGGGGCAAAGCCCATGCTTAACGTGCCTTGCTGAATCAGGGCCTATAAAGGACAGTGTAGTTGCCCCTCTGTACCCTAGTCTGCTGGGAAGGAGGCGGCCATTAGCCGGAAAGGCCTGCGTCCTACACAAAGCGCTCGTTAACGCTCAGTGTGACCCCTGCGTGGGGCAAGTTTTTGGTTACTTTGAAAGGGTTCTGAAAAGCGGGGCCTATGGCTCGGCCGGCCTTTGAGGCGGGATGTTCGTCCCGCTCCAGCGCTGACTCCACAGTCTCATTACAGCTCCATTCAGTGCTTGGCAATGTGCTCAACGATGTTACTGAGCAGAGACTAAATCGCTTCAGCGAACAACCGTTCAGCTGCCGGCTAGCGTAGCACATGAGCCAGCCTGTAACAGCCACTACGGGGGCTGGATGGGCCCGAAGTGTCACGTCTACTTGGCCGTTGGACATGCAAAATGAGCCAGGTCCACAGGAGTCAGCCACAGCATGAAGGCAGCTTTTCCTTGGCGATAAAGCTAGAGGGGGCCGAATGCCTGCCTAGCCGCTCATTAACCCATGACACATGAACATGCAGTAACGGTTCTGAGCCGTGACTCTTCAGGAGGCTAAACAATGACAAACCACAGAGCCCAGTGTCTTTAAAGTCAGCATTTACTCAGCCATAATACTCAGCTAACCTGCTACCGAGCGCACGTGTGCTCTATGCCTAGGCACATCGGAGCAGAAACCCTCTGCTGCAAAGCCCAGCCAGGGCAGGATAACACACCCTCTGCCTCTGAGCAGTGCTACACTAGACAGCTGCTAAGCTCCTTTAGGGCTGGCGTGAGAATAGTTCATCAAGCTAGCATAATCAGCTGGTTTAAAAATGAAGAAAAAAAACCCCAAACCCTAAAATACAACCCAGCTACCGTCTGGCTCAGCGTGCCTGTTTCCCAGGCACACCGTGTCTAACCCGTGCAGGAGGGGGGATGGAAACATTACAGGTGCCTGGCAGTGCACCAGCCTCCTTTGCTGGGGGCAGTGGCGGGCAGCCAAACGGTCCTTTACAATGCAGCACTTCGGCTGGTCTGGCTGTGCACACCCCTTGCACATCCCGGTCTGCAGTTCATGGTATTGTTGGCCACTCATGGATGCCAGCCATGCAAGGAGACAAAGCATGTGCAGGTTTGGTTTGTTGTTTTTCCTCTACAAGGCCCTGGCTTTTAGCCTGGAAGAGCAGGAAAGGACCCTGCTAGAAAGGACCCTGCTAGTCTCCAACAGCCTACAATCCTCTGACGCGAGGCACGAGGATGTCTTGCCAAACACATTCACCGGCTCTCCACTAACCTTCTCTCACTAATACAGGTGGGGGGAGGGCACTTAGGCCTTTGCTCCCACACACCTGGCGGTCAGCCTCTCGGGCTGGTAGCTGATGGCAGGAGAGGTTTATCCGCTGAGGGGCTAAGCACACTGTCATGTAGCAATGTTAGGAAGGGGATATAAGAGGCAGGTGGGGGGAACATAAAGCCCCCTGTGATTAGTGCAAAATAGGAGCTGCCTCAGGGAGACCCCCCCCCCCCCACGGCTTCAATGCTGCTGTTTGTTTGGTCCATGCATTGGTGAGCGAAGTGGCAGCCGTCTAGAGATGGGCTGGTCTAGCAAACCAACCTGGGGAACATACAGCAAGCCAGGAACGCACTATTACAGCCCCTCGACTGCAGCACATCCTTTACTGCATTCCTGAACCATGATCTGGAGAAACAGTGCTGAGCTGAGGGGGGTGACGCTGCCCTGAGAGGTGTGGTCAATACAGTCCCTTCATAGCCGTTAAGGCCAGCGGGGCCCATGGTGAACATTTTGTTTGACCTTCTGCAAGGCACGGGCCAGAGAATCTCACAAAGCGATTCCTGCATCAAGCCCAGAACATCTGGTTGAGCAGCAGCGTCACTAATAGAAAGCCGGCTAATGCGAGACTAATGTACAAGCATTGCAGTTAAGGGGAGGGAACGTTTTATTGTGTGTACAGAACACGAGGGGGCTAGTGCATTGCGAGGGCTACTTTGTGTGCTGCCTTTTAACAGGCCGTGCTCAGGCAGGAGATGAGTGAGTGGGAAGGGGAGCGCATTACCTTTTCCTTCACTTTGCCTCCAGCCCAGCTAGTGCACGAAGGACAGAACTAACATGAAAGGACTGGGTCTTGCCCTGGCCAGTGAGCCAGAAACGACACTATTCTAGCTAGACACACCTAGTTCTGCCCTGATGTTACACCCCCCATTTCACGATGGTGCCACGTCCCACTGACTGAGTGTCTCAGGTTGAGCCTTCAGCCTCTCCAGAGCCCTGCATGGTCTTTTCATGGAATGAGTCATTTCAGCTTTTGCCCTGTATGGAAAGCCCCTGAGCTTTAGCTGCTCTACCAGGCAAGAGTTGGGGGGCAGGGAAAGCTGGCAGAGCCCTCAGCTGGCTGGGAAGTGGGGCAGCCAGGTTGACGTAGTCTTGTTTCAGTGCAGGGGGCTGGACTTGGTGACTTCTCAAGGCCCTTCCAGCCTTACATGTCTCTGATTACTCAGCGGGCCTGCACCAAGTGAGGACATGGGGCTGCAATCCCCACCTCTCCTTGGGGGACATGAACCGGCCGGGGGCTGGAGAGTAGCTTTGCTCACTAGCCTCACCGGACCATTGGGGTTCCAATCACAGTTGGGAAAACAGCTTCTGGGGGGTGTTTTAGCTGAACCTTTCAAAGTTTGTCCCTCCCCGTCTAATGGCAGACTAGCAAAGCAGCGTGGGGCTACCTAACCAAGGCCCAGGGAGGAGCGGCTGCCGCCCATTACAGTAGGGCTAACGCCAGGGGCAAGGGAAGCAGGTCACGTGTGAATGGTCAGCGAGGAGCAGGTCAGGGAAGTCCTCCTGCCTGCCCGGATGCCCCAGGCGTGCCTTGGTTTTAGCTGCACGTGCCGGAAGTAAAAAACACATGTTCAATGGCGTGGGACGTTGTGGGTCTCCAGGAGGAAATCAAGATGGCCGCTGTGCCCGGCTTCCACGGACCTGCCTTCTGTTTGGAGAGCCCGGGGGAGAAGGGGGCAGGGCTGGGCATCACCTGGAAAAGCGCCTCTCAGAACCCTAAATCCAAGGAGAGAGTGCATTAATCAGTGTGCAGAGAGCCTCCGCATCCCCCCAGGACATGCCTGGCTTGGCCCTCTGCTAGAGATGGGGCTTGGGCTACTCACATACCGCGGTGGGGGGGGGGCATCAGCTGCTGCAACAGCAGGGGCATTTAGCCTTTATTTGGTGCACAAATGTAGCCCTGAAAACCCAAAGCTTCCAGATTATGGATCCAGGAGCCTAGACTCTCACTGCATAGCCAGTTCCCCTGGCTTGGTCAGCTGCTAATGCTCCTGTCTCTCCCCAACACCCCCCCCCTCCCCGGCCACTGCCCCTCCCCATCACCTCCACCTCAGGTAGACTCTATGAAGGAGGGTTTCATAACAGACTAGAGGTCACTAAAATAACAGTTTAGAGAAAACCAGTTGGAAGCTATTGTTATTTACTTTTTTGCATAACAATGAAGTTAAAAGGCAACAATTTTTAACTGATAGAAAGGACTATTAAAAAACCCACTACAGCAAATACCTCTTGGCAGTGAGTTCCACAGGTTATCACAGAGGCCAAGTGTTCGGATTTGCAGAAAGAGCCTTACACAGTTATAGGAATGAGAACTGCCACAATTACAGTGTCGCTTTGTGACAGCTATAAACCCGCCTGCCTTGGGCCATAAAGCAACCTCTGAATGACAGTGGGTGGGAAGAACTTTCTCCCACAGGCTTGTCCTTAGCTGGCCAGCACGGGCCTTCTTACACCCCAATCTAAAGCATCTGGTGCCAGGCTGGCTGAACCCTGCGGCAGTTCTGAGGGCCGTATTAGTCAGTATTTATTCCCACTGGTTGTTTTCCTGACCAGCTAGGAATCAGTCAGCTGTCCAGTCAGCTTTTGAGACCTCAGATTAATAGATTATGATTTTTTAAAGGCTATTTAATGAGATATTGTGATTTGTTAGCGCTGCTTAATATTGATCACAGAAGGAGTGGGTCATGGAGACAAGCAGACACTTGTTGCTATGTGTGGCTTAGCAACATACACAATGTATTCAAAGGGAATAATGAAATTATCACAGGGAAACAATGAAGCCATCACTTGACAAGATGGAGGATGTGGAGCTCTTGTTTGCCAAGACAAGAAAGACACTACTTATTGTTTGCACAAATCTGTGAACTGCCTGGCCCACCCCTCCCTACGTAATGGGGTGTAATGAATCGCTGTAGACTATTCAGTTTAACGTGTAGCTTTGTACAGCTGGGCAGGAGCTCATTACTGGGGAAAACGTGTGGCCTCGCAGCATGAACTGTGTCCTTAGCAGGGGAATAGCCTGTTGTGAGGCGTCTTAATATCAGGTGGAGGTGTGGGGGAGGGAGTGGGGCAGGACGAGAGAATGTCGAGCGGGACTGGAGAGTTGTAGCTGACAGCTGGGTCCCACTCTAAAGGAAGAGAATTTTAGCTCCTCACATGTTGCAATAATCTTGCTTTAAATATTTTTGTAAAAGTTGGCCATAATATTTCCATTTTAATTGTCTGACTCTTACCTGGTGCTGTAGCTTTGCTTAGAAACTGTATCTGCCACTAATAATTTTAAAGAGCTAATTTAATTGATTTCCCTAGGCAGTTTGAGCAAAATAGGTGGCTGCTAAAAGATCATGGTTATGAGTGGCTTTGATTATGATGCCCTATATAATCACAGAGAAGCCAGAAATAGGATGGAGGCTTGAGGGGAAGGCTGTTTTTGTGGTTAAAGTCCCTGGCTCTGGTATTGATTTCCGGCGTGAGTTTAGGCAAGGCAATAATTGGTTTGGGCCTCAGATCCCCCTCTGCAAAATAAGCTAATGGCAGTGCCTTTCTCGGCCCGCTTGTCCCGTGAGCGTGTGAGCATTACGGGCAGACCCTGGCTCTCACTATGTGGTTCAGTGTGGGCCTGAAGGTGCTACCATCAGATGGCTAATAATCATTACAGCTTGTTGAAATTTTCAAACAAGCAAACTAACAGCCCCTTTTCGTCATGAATATATTCTGCACAGAAGCTGTTTGGCAAGGTTTGCGTTGAAACTTTATCATTTATCATTTTAAAAGTACGAAAATGCCAAAAAAAAAATTCTAAATAAATGGGGGAGCGAGACTAAACTGACCAAAAAATTCATTTTAAAATCTCTCTTATTTCAGCCATGGAAGAGAAACACAAACATTCAAATACAAATTTCAAAAAAATGACACAAATTATTTCAAATTTTTGTGTGTGATGTTTTGCTTTGTGTTGTTTTGACCATTGCTAATAGATTTCTAAGTCATTAGCCTCCTGGCTTGCCGTCGGTATAATTTATGATGAGCTTTAGGTCTGGCTGGCACAGAAGTTGGAGCTGGGGTGAATCTATTGTCGTGCCCCCTAGGGGCCAGGGCAGGATTGTTGCTCCTTGGACACTCACCAGCACCAGGCCAAGTCTAGGCTGAAATGGAACGGCTGCTGGCGCTGGAGCTGGCTTTACGCAACGCCTAATGAGTCGGACTCAGGATAGCTTCTTGCCTCACTTGGCCTCAATTTGCTACTGCTGACGTCAGCCAGCCCCCAGAAGTTACGTACAGCTGAACATTACCCTTCGCTGACCAGGCCACGTACCAGGAGCTGCGCTGTGTCAGAGCGGCCCTGGGGTCAGCTAGGCAGTATGGAGCTAGGGCATTATTGTATGTCTTGTGTGGCGGAAAGCACTTGACTTTGTGGCAGTGCTTCACAGCACTGCTGCCGCACTACCAGGCCAGCTGCAGTGGGCTGCCTGTTGGGCCGGAGGTAGTTGCGGGGGTTTGGAAGAGGGCTTGTCAGGCTGGAAGGGGGCTTCCTCATTCACGCTCAGCCCGGGAAAATTGCAAAGCTGAGTCGTGCAGGCACCTGGAGGATGCTACATGAACTGCTCTTGGCACCAGCGAGGCTGCTACACAAATCTTAGCAGTGCACAGAAGGTGCTGGGCTGTGGATTTTAGGTGACCGCTTGGGACAGGCGTGCGTCTGTGCATGCGCGCGCATTTCTACTAGCTTTAAAGGACTCCAGGGTTCTAATCCCAGCGTTGCTGCAGGCTTTCTAGATAAGTCACTTAACCTGCCTATAAAATACAACTAATTCCTCCCTTTCCGGTGGGTGTGATCCCTACCCAGCCTCTGAAACACCTGCAGCACCTTGAGGAGCTTGTGCCAGGGTCCTTCTCCCTCGCTCAAGCCTGGATAATGCACCCAGCATTGCAGACTCTGGTGCCAGGCAGTTGCATTGACCCAGATCATCCCTCACAGGTGTAACACTTAGGGGGAAGAAATGAGAGCAGAGGCCCAGCTCCCCGACCAGCTCCCAGCATTGCAAGTTCCCTAGACTTGTCTCTGGTGCAGCTGCCTCTGGGGCTCCATGGAAGAGATAACAGAGCGCCTCTGAAGCAGGTCAAGGGTCAGTGCATAGATGAGGGGACAGAAGCCCAGAGAGGTTTCGTGGGTTCCCCCAGCGGCAGAGTCAGGACTCGAACTCAGACGCCCAGGCTGCTGCCCGCAGCCCAGGCTGCTTCCCAACCCACCTAGCTGAGCAGCAGAAGGGGGCACCAGGACGAGCAGCCCTTCTGCTCTTGCTCCACCAGGTCCAGGTCTCTAATCCCCCCTGGGAAAACAGCAGTGATATAGCCAGAGCATGCTGGACCCTGGTTCTGGGCATTGCACAAGCCCTCAGCAGGGCAGACCATTCTCAGCGTGACTGGGTAGCAAAGCCTGAGCCATTTATCGCTACTGATGCTACCATGAGAAGGGCCCAGTCCAGCCTGGGGCCTGCTGCTGCCTGGCAGGGACAGTGAACCCTCCTCTCCTTGTGACAGCAGCAGGAGCTGAGGCTACGCAGAGCCATGCCAGACTGTGATGTTCAAGCAGAGCGTGGAAATCAGTGGTGTCTCAGGAGGATGCCGTGCTGAGTGGTGCTCAGATACTGGGGGCTGGGGGCCAGACCCGTACCTAGATCAACTGGGCAAAGCTATCAAGCCACACGAGGAGGAGCGCAGGCAGCCCGCTGTTTTTGCGCTACCCGCCAAATGGAGGCATCAGGTAGTGGGAGCATCGCTGTGCACAGGCTGTAAAGGGCTAACTTCCTAAAAGAGCCAGGCTCTCCCCCCCTCCCCACACTGGGCACCGAGACATGGAGCAGCTCCCCAGTCTGCGGAGAACTCACTGCCTGGGCTCAAGCGCTGTACGAGGACTCGGGGGGAGGCGGGGGAGGGGAGGGAAAACCCCAAAAGGTGGCTAAGTGGCTTTTGTAGCAGAGAGGCACAATTCTCAGAGCGCTCGGTGCCTTGTGCATGTCAGGCTGGTGCAGGTGGATGTGCAAAAGCTTCCCAGCTGAAGAGGTGTTGCTAAGCAATTCAAGGGGCAATGCACATTTTAAGGAGCTGTTCGGTTTCACGCACTCGCTCCTCACTAGGGTCAAGCAACGCCTCTTACAGGTACAGCCTGCAGGCCTGACAAAAGCGTGAGTCCTTGTTTGCACCATGGCAGCGGAGGCTGCATCAGGGGTTCCCCGCAGAAAAAATACTGCACCTGCCTAGGGGTCAGTTTGACTGTTAATATGCAGGTTAGTCTGAAAGGGGGTGAGTGTGACAGAGGGACAATACATGCACATTTATACATCTGCTGCACGGGCTTCTGTGACCCGAACTCCTAGATTTCCTTCCTCAAGGGGATTGAGGGAGCTGATCCATAGAGTGCAAGATTCCCCTGACTCGACCCTCCCTGCATACACTGCACCGGGAAGCACTGCCCCTGGAAGTGCAGCAGGTGGTGACCTCTGCCCAGCGGTGCTGCACGGTACCAGAGAATCACTCCTCCTGGGCTCAGGCACTTACCCAGAAGTGCACAGGGGCCCCCAAGAAGGTTAAGGCAAATTAACAAATGTGAAGTCAATGCACATAAATGAAAGCACATTAAACCCCATCCGGATGTGCTAAGACGGGAGTAAAATTGCCTTAGTTCACTGGTACATTAGAAAGTTTTCTGGTATAGC